AACAAGCTCCGCAAGAACACGAAGACATAACATAACTTTACACTTACCCGGTGTCAAGTCATCAGCGAAATCCGCAAAGACTGCTTTAGAATGTTTTAGTTTGTTTTTTTCTGATGACATTATCAATTTGCTGGTAAAATGTACAAATCAGTACATCGAAGTCGTCAGAGGCAAGTTTCAAAGGGAACGTGACGCAAAAGATACAAACGTTGAAGAAATAAAAGCATTGCTGGGTTTGATGATCATGTCTGGAGTGTTTAGAGCTTCACATCTCAATTTCATAGATCTCTGGGCCACCGACGGAACCGGTGTAGAGATGTTTCGTTGGAACATTGAAGAAAAACAAACCCGATATACCTGAGGAGATTTTACCAGACAGAAGTCAATTCAGCTGTCTGTTCGGATTTCAAAAGACTCTAACCATGGTTTCAAATGTGCCAAAACCAAATCAAGCTGTTGTGTTGTTATCCTCCATGCACCATGGAGCTCACATCGGCCCAGGTTCAGGTGAGCAGCAATAATTATGTATTACAACAGCACTAAAGGAGGAGTGGACACCAATGATCATTTGTGTGGTACATACAGCGCAGGAAGGCGAACCAAACGATAGCCGTTAGCTATTTTCTTCCATCTTATAAACGTTGCATGCATAAATGCTCTCGTTGTACATCGGGCAAATACCACTAAATCACGTACTCGCATGAGGCGTAATTTTTCGCGGCAATTGTCCATTGAACTTGTCCATAATCACCAGAAACGTCGGCTTGATGTCCATTCAACTCCTAAAGTAATAAAGAAACGACTTATAGAAGTTCATGACTTGGACAACCGCGCCCCACCAACCACTGCAAAACGTGGGCGTTGCAACAACTGCCCGCGGAAAAGTGATTGAAAAGTATTGACTAAATGCAAAAAGTGCGCAAAATTTGTGTGCAATGATCACTCAGACATATACTGTCAACAGTGCAAGAAAAGTGATTCGGATAGTTCCTAACATAATCATAAAAATTTGCCTTGATATCTTGATATAAGTACAAATTGTTAATTTTCAACTATTATTTTATATAAGCTCAATTTTTTTCATTAGATAGTAATTCATGTTATTTCTCTTAAATATCATAATATAAATAAAGCACTTTAATAATAAAATAGTTTGATTTCATTTTATATTTAATATATATTAAAATAATATCCTACAACTTGGGGTCACCTGTGACCCCATGCGAGCAGTTATGTAATGTTCTTCATGCGAGTAATTAAGGGTTTTAATTTCATGAAATTTCAGGAGCAGTATTCTATGGATAGGTTTGACTACTATATAGTGAAAAATCCACTGATTGGCCGTGGAATAATTAGCAAATGCTATCAAAACATTCCCAAGCTTTGTTATGTTATGTTTCTCAAGTTTCTCTTCATTTTTTAAGAGTTATTTTGTTCAAATCTTTCAAATCTCGTGTATATATATTTTTTATTTTTTTATTTCATTTAACGTCGCGGCAAAGAGGACTGAGTTCTTGAAATAAGGGAATAAAATAACAGACAAAGTGGGCATGGTTCTCTTACCTTTCGGAAAACTCTATTCTTGAACGCTAATAGAATAGGCTCTCTGGAGAAAAAGAGCGAGCGACTCGCCTTCGTTCATCAATCCCATTTGTATAAGCAGAGTCAACGCTCACTGATATGAAGAAGCCAGGAAGCTATTGTTTTGCCGAAATTGAATGCATTCGCACCTTGTAGCTGTCAGATTTTGATGACATTTCTCAGGGAAGAGCGGGACCACACCAATAATTCTAGGTTAGCCCAAGATGTGAATTTGTGAAGCTTTTAAGGAATTTTATTCAATCAGCAATGTTTGTCCCAATCCATCCATATTTTATCAGTAAAACATAATTATGGTTCTCTACCGTTTCTAAAAAAGGATCCGCGTAAATCCAGTTTCTATCATCAAGCCATGTGTTCCCAAATACAATTTAAAACATCAAACACTAGCACCAATCTCATTGACGGACTCCTGAAAATGACAACATAGCCTGTCGAAAGCTTGAGTATTTGTAAGTCAAAAGGGTACACTTAGCTTAATTTGTCGATATCCCCAAAGACAAGTCTTTCATTTAGCTCTATATATGTATATATATAACTTGAGACGTGGTCATTGTCGTCTAGACCAGTTAGGTGAAAAATTAAAGCTTCCGCCTTTTGTTGGGTACTTCGACAAAATTTAAGCAAAGAAGACTCTTTATACTTAGTATTTTTTTATTTTTCACATATATATATATATATATATAAAGTAAATTATCATGCGGAGAAAGGTATATATCAAAAATAGGAAAATAATGGGCAAAACCACATTGTAGTATCAAATGTGTAGGTTGGCTCTTGTTGTAGACTTCTTGTGTCGGTTTTTCCCTCTCCATCTTCGTTTCCTCAGGTTACACCCGTATCCGGATGTATGGGCATGTGTCTCTACTTTTGTAGTTGCATATATGCATTCATTTCGGGCCTGATGAAGCCAACCAGCAGAAATACGTATCGCTCGGGTTACCTATCCTATTCTGCTCAAATCCACTTTTTGCGGATTTTGCCCATTATTTTCCTATTTTTGTTATATATATATATATATATATATTATTTTCTGAATTTTGAAAGCTTAACATGCTGTATCTTGATAAGGGTGCATTTTAAGACCAATGTTTATAAAATACATTATTTTTGGCACTACCTTCTTCTCAGAAATATTATCACTGCTTCTCGAAACCCCTGCATACACATAAATAAAAGTGTTTTTTATGAAATTGTCATATTAGTGGGAACGTATTAATAACTAAAATGTATTTTTGCTAACATACGATATTTTTATTTAATATGTCTAACAATTTTTTTTGTAGCAAAGACAAAATATCTTACAAATTCAAAAACATTGCCGATTAATAGAGATCAATGAAACCAAATAGCAGCAAATACCACTGCGTTTTATCTCTTTTACTGCTTCGATACGTCTTAACATAGTGTCAACTAATGTTTGGCACTCATCTGGTGTAAAACTGTTCGCAATTTCTTGGAGACGGGTTCGTAAATCTGGAACGGTTCGTGCGAGATTCGATCGGAGCTTGTTCTTCATGATATACCACAAGGTTTCAATAGGCGATAGATCTGGACTACTCGACGTATATTTTAAAACTGAAATATTGTTTTCTGACACCCAATCTTTTACTTTTTTAGCCATATGGCAAGCGGCACCATCTTGTTGGAAAATACATTCAATATTGTTTAAACGCATTTGTTCAATTTGGGGTATTAATGTACTTATCAGCATTCATAATACCTTCCACAAAATGCAAGTTTCCCGCTCCACTTGCTGACATGGATCTCCAAATCTTAACAGAAGCCGGAAACGTAACTTTTTTTAAGACAGTCATTCTGAAACACTTCTTCTTTAGTCCTTATGAAATGACTCCTACTATGACTCACTCATAGAAATATTGAATTAAAAACGAATAATAAAAAAATAATTTAACCCCAGCTTGTAAGTTTTAAATCCCAGCTTTTGGGCAGATCTGAGACAAGTTGCACTTTAAAACTATTTTGTGGTTGCCTGATTTCATAATATTTTCAATTCGTTATAATTAGCACGCCGATTTTCCTTGATAATCCGTTTTAAGGCTCTTAAGTTGGTATTGGAATAATGCGAGCTACTTTCAGTTCTGGGTTTTTGAGCCACAGAAGCCATTGTTTTGCACAATTTAAAAATATTTCGAAATGTATACCTCGATTTGTTAACACTTTCAGCGATTTGGGAAGCATTTTGGCATTTCAAATGCAAGTGAATGATCACTTTTCTTATTTCGTCAGAAACAGCTTTACCACCAGCCATTTTTAATTGTTGCACCAACACCAATACATTGAAAGTTGATATGAACGTCAAAAATCAGCTTCTTAGCAACGTAAAATGTTATCCGCCTTCGGAGTCAGGCTCTTTCGCCTAAGTATTGAAATAAACTCATGCATTTTCTAGACAACACGCTTTCATGGAACATTGTCGGTAATTTTTATGCAATTGTGTAATTACTTCCGAAAATTTCCCGTTGCTTAGGTAAATTTTCACTGAAAATTGCCCAGTAGGTATCGAAAATTTCCCTATAGTTCCGTATATATAGTTACGATTGATGAAATGTCCATTTTTCATCTTGACATGCAATAATATCATATATCATAAATATTCTACCGAATTACACTCGTGCATCAAAATAAACCTGATAATTTGCCATTCAAGCATGATGTTGTCAGTAAAAAACCGCATTCGGTTATTTTCGTGAAAATTTATTATCGGTAATTGTGATGCACTTGTGTAATTACTTCCGAACATTTTGCTGTATTTCTTAGATTACTATATGACTTTGAGACGGAAATAGATGGTCAAGTAAAAAAAAAAATGAATAAACTTACGGTCTATGTCTACAAGAACATGTCAGTATTGTTGTAATATCGGTATATATGGTATTTTAAAAACATTATAAGTTGTTGATCTCAACATGTAGAACAAGTGTCCCAGTGGTAAAAACTCACAGGGTACGAGATACAGGGGCTGCTGTTTGACGGCTTGCTATAGCTATCAATATAAAAAATCCAGGGTATTAAAAAGTTTGGAATGTATCTGAATTTTGGAGTTATTTTGATTACTGTTTCTAAATTTCCAACAAGATCGCGTTTAACGTGGGGTTTTAAGAGCAAAATAGACGACCATAACATTTTTTTGAGGGGTTTTGATCTTTTATTCTAATGATCTATCTATATCACTATGACTCAATATGTCCAAAATATAATGCTCTATCTGCTCTTAGGTTTTGTTTTGACTTTTCACATATTCACTGCTTATTTACATAAACATGATGTTTAATCCCGTCGAATGTATGTAAGCATTATTGTGCTAATTAATAGCAAATATTTCTTGACTATACTTAAAACATCCTAGAGTGTTCCTAACAGAACTTATTGTGTTTAAGGGAATGGAGAAGTGATATATACTGATGTTGAAGGAGAGCTAGGCAAGATAACAGGTGTAGTAGAGTCTAATAATACACATGCACATGACAAAGGCGAGCCTGTCGGGAGTAGGCTTGGAGATAATGTTGAATTTGGTGAAATGGAAATGATGGAGAATTATGATGATGAAGACAACGAGAATTCTATTTCAGTCGAAAAACTCAAGAGAGATATCATGGGTAGTCTAGAACCTGAATTAGAGACACTAGCTGATAATGGTAGGCCTGTAGATATTTACTTCCACAATATATATATATATATATATATATATATATATATATACAGGGTGACTTTGAAGTTGAGTCATGTGTGTAAAAATAAAAAAAAATTTACCTTGTTTTATAAAGTATCCTCCCGACAAGTATTTCAGTGCGGACCTGTATTTGATCGTGAGGTCTCGGAGCACCGGCATGCCCTCCCCTGTGAGGTCTTAAGTCACCTGATTCACGAGCCCGTTGTACTACATTAACAAAGGCACGAGGGGTTGGTTGCACTCGATTGGGAAACCGATCCGCATAAACATGTGCCATTTTATATTTCGTTTGAGCCCCGCAGCAAACACCACTATTCACTCACGCGTTACCGGCTGACACATTGACTGAATAAAAACATCGTGATCAGCGTTTCAAATTCTTTTGTCTTTTTGTTTCCGATGCGAGGAACCGATAAGGCGGATTATATACGCTGTTGCCAAACACGAGCACATAATATTATTATTGAGACAGGGCGGTACTCAAACTTCTAAAGGGCTATAACTTTGTTACTTTAATTTTACCACAAAAATGTTAAAGGAAAAAAACATTTCTTTTGATCAGATCTACTCACTGTTAAAATAAATGACTCAACTTCGAAGTCACCCTGTATGAGAGAGAGAGAGAAAAGTATCATGCGGAAAAAGATATATGACAAATTGAAAAATAATAGGTAAAATCCGCAAAAAGAAGGAAAGTGGATTCGAGCAGAAAATAGGATAGGTAACCTGAGCGATACGTATTTCTGCTTGTTCGCCTCATCAGGGCCGAAATATACGAGCCCCTTCCCACTTCAGTTGGCCCACTTCAAGATTTGTACCAAAATATGCCTTTATAAACTAAACATGATGAAACTATTTACTTCTAAAACAATTTATTTTCTCAAAAACATTTTAGATACACTCTAGACGTAAAAAATACATATTTGAAATCACTTAGAACTATAACTAATAGAACATCTGAACAAATAAACAATATGCGATAAATGCTCGAAGTTAACAAAGCAACAATTGAAAGATTACCATTGGGTAACATCACCTTTATTTTTTATTACGGCTGAAATGCTTTGGGGCATAGTGTTAAACAAGTTTTGGCAAAAATTTGGTGTAAAACAACCCCAAATGTCTTGTAGCTTTTGTCTCAGTTCAGTGATTGTACGAGCAGGATGTTGTCGTAGAACCTTTTTCATCTCGTGCCACAAAGTTTCAATAGGTGACAGATCTGGACTGCTAGAAATCCATTTCAAAAGTGGTACATTATTTTTTTCCATCCATTTTATAGCCTTTTTTGAGGTATGGCATGCTGCACAATCTTGCTGAACCACAAAATCTTGGCCGGATATCAAACATTCTTCCATCGCTGGTAAAAGCGATTCTGCTAAAATTGACAAACATTTGTTTGTATCCACATTTCCATCAATAAAATGAAGTTTTCCTACTCCTTTTGATGACATACTACCCCAGACCATAATGGATGCTGGAAATTTCACTTTTCTCTTCAGACAGTCAACATGGAATGCTTCATTTTTTTTGCGAATAACTCTACTGCGACTGTCACCAACACAAACTTCGAATCGGGTATCGTCACTCCATTGTATTGCACACCATTGTTGAGGTGTCCATTGTCTATGTTCTTTAGCCTATCTAAGCCGATTTTTCTTTTGCAGTGGAGTTAATAGTGGCCTTTAAACAAGTTGTGCAACTTTAGGGTTTTTACTTCTCTTTTTTTTTATAAGAAAACATGCCTTGCAAGTGCTAAATCCCAGTTTGTGGGCCTCTCTATGAGTTGTGGACCTCGAAATTCTCCTTCCAACAGCGTCGCTCCACAGAGCACTTAATTGTAAATAATTGGTACGCCTGTTTTTCACGATTATTCTTAATGCTCTTCGGTCGGCATTTGTGATATTACTTTTTTTCACATATCGTGGCTTAATATTAACTGAACCAGGTACGTTATATCTTCTTACAATATTTCTCACACTGTACTGTGATAAGTCTAACAAAGTTGAGTTTGATTTCCCAGAATTAAAATTTTTTATTATCAGTAACCGAATTTTCTCAATAATAACGTTTCCTCTACCCATTTTGAAAACCTTAATTACCCAAAACTATTTTAAACGTATTCTGACAGCTGTGATTAATAAAAACAATTGTCATGGCTTTTATTTTTCACAGCCACCTATGCGTTATAGACTTATTTTGCATTGAAATGAAAATAGGTTGATATGCTGTAATTGCAACATGTGTTATTTGTAAGCTGCAAATTTGATTCGGGAGTGATAAAGTTGGTGTTTTCTACTATATATTATCAAAATATTCATTGTTATTATTTTAAACCTTTAACACCCTGCTACATTTTTATTAGTTGTGTTTGATAAGAAAAAAACTAAGATTTCAATAGTTGGGCCAACTGAATTGGGAAGGGGCTCGTACATACATCCGGATACGGGTGTAACCTGAGGAAACAATGTTGGATATGTGCATTCATTTCAAGCCTGATGAAGCCAACAAGCAGAAATACGTATCGCTCGAGTTACCTATACTATTTGCTGCTCGAATCCTCTTTCCTTCTTTTTTGTCCCATTATTTTTCTATTTGTTATATATATATATATATATAGGGTACAAAATACAATTACTTGTTAATTGGGAAATTGGCAAAACTTTTAGGCTTAAGTTGACTCTTCTGACGATAAAATCAAGCTTTCGGCATTCTCTATGGAGCCTTCATCAGGATTCTGAAAACACAATTGTGATGCTAGCAAAGAAAACAGGACAGATTTAAAATGTCAGACAACTTACTCGTCGGTGAGGTTGCAGCCACAAGGTGTTTCAGAAAGAACGTAGAGAAGATCGAACTTGTGTTCAGTATAAAAACAAAAGGACGGGGACATTGGGTTTGTTGAAAAACGACAGATACCTTCTGCCGAACAAGTTAAAAATATTACACGTGGGGAGACATTTTGTTGAAACAATCGGAATGCAGTCCCTAACCTTCTACTACCGCTACACTTCGAAAGGGGGAAGGCACGGAACGGTAAAGCGTCGACAGAAGACAAGTGATTGACGCGACGGACCGTGGAAATGTACACCTCCCTGTCCAACTTTGGGTATGAAGTATACGAGGGACGCTCGGTAAATCTCCACCCAAAATTACTAAAATGCTGGAATAACTTGTTTTGGAAAAGAGTGTGTGGTTCATATGAGTGCAAGATTGTGTGATATTGATACAACCTTGAAAAGATGGGTTATGTGAGTTTATATTAAAAATGTGAGTGAGAAAATGTATTCTAATTTTGTGAAGATGTTGGATCAATTTGGACATGTAGCCGTTCTAGCTTTTCGCAATTCAACAGGTAGGAATAAATGACACTGAGCTGCTTAACATCAGCCTTTTTATTCATGCAATGATCAGTCATGAAAATGTGGGACGTTTCTAAAAATAAACGTTTTGAGAGTCTTTTTTCTTTATCAAGAACCTCAATACCGCCATAATTCATAGAGTGACCTGTGTTGTTAATATGCGACGCCAAAGCACATCTTTCTGGATGTAATCTGGCATCACTTTTGTGTGACGTTATCCTGCCTTTCAGCGACCTAGAAGTTTCGCCTATATAAACTAAATTGCAGTTGTTGCAATTAATACGATAGACAGTATTGGTTGAATCAAGCAACTGAACCTTATCTCTCATTTTGGACAACAAACTGTTGACTGTGAGCATTTTAGTAATTTTGGGTGGAGATTCAGGAAGGTGTACATTTCCAGGGTCCGTCGCGTCAATCACTTGTCTTTTGTCGACGCTTTACCGTTCCGTGCCTTCCCCCTTTCGAAGTGTAGCGGTAGTAGAAGGTTAGGGACTGCATTCCGATTGTTTCAACAAAATGTCTCCCCACGTGTAATATTTTTAACTTGTTCGGGTGTATTGATATAATTTTTATTTTTTCTTAACTTTCAACGAAGGTATCTGTCGTTTTTCAACAAGCCCAATGTCCCCGTCCTTTTGTTTTTATACTGAACACAAGTTCGATCTTCTCTACGTTCTTTCTGAAACACCTTGTGGCTGCAACCTCACCGACGAGTAAGTTGTCTGACATTTTAAATCTGTCCTGTTTTCTTTGCTAGCATCACAATTGTGTTTTCAGAATCCTGATGATGGCTCCATAGAGAATGCTGAAAGCTTGATTTTATCGTCAAAAGAGTCAACTTAAGCCTAAAAGTTTTGCCAATTTCCCAATTAACAAGTAATTGTATTTTGTACCCAACTAGTCGTTGGCTTTGGCAATGACTACTGCTCATATATATATATATATATATATTATATGCACTCAACAATGGACTTACTATTCCATAGAATGTTGCATCAGACGCTAGCTCAGCAACAGATAACGACTTCTCGCTAACTCGTTCGTATGCTTTGTTTTCTAGAAGTGCCTTGTAAGCACATCAATAGTATAAATAGGCCTTCCGGCCCATTTCACGTTGTTCAATACCCGGCTAGGCACCGTAACAGTCACTTATGTAAACTTCGTGTTCAATACCCGGCTAGGCACCGTAACAGTCACTTATGTAAACTTCGTGTTCAATACCCGGTTAGACTCCGTCAAGTCAAGTAATTGTAAACGTTTGTAACGGACAGTAGTTACTGTCCTCAATTAAATTTTTTAAAAAGTAAAATTGAATTTAAATGATTTAACATATATATATATATATATATATATATATATATAGCGTGTCCCGCGAGGTAAGGGACAAAATTTTTCTGCCTGTTTCTTAGGTCAATTCGAGTCGAAAAGGTCCTATGAACATGGGTTCGCAAATGCTTCCTTATCGAGATAATGAATTTTTTATTTTTAAGGTGTTAATGGTGGGAAAACCACAATATTGTTGGAAAATTACGTTTATTTAACACAAACTTACTAGGTACAATAAAAATTAACTATTCACAATAGTTGCTCAAAGTGTCCACCT